CTGAGTGCCTCACTTCCTGAAAGGGTTCAGAGCATCAGCCCATGGAACTCTCTGGAAGCCGAGGACTGGCCCAGCCTGTGGAGAGATGGGAATAGCGCTGAGACCTTTTGTGGTCTCCATATTTGTATCTCCACTCACTGTTACGAAAAACAATGCATAGAACCCTTGCGAATACAAATTAAAAGCTCCTCCTACCTCCCCAGTCTTTTTATTAAATGCCTTATGGAATTCCTAATTTAGGTATTTTCTGAACCTCAGAGACCATCTTCCTATCTAGAAAATAAGGAGGTTGGACTAGAGATCATTAACATCTCTCTGCTCAAAAGGTCTACCTCTTTGTTCTTCTTACTAAAGATTCATGCTTTTGCTATCACAGTGTAGGATGGACAGCAGATATTTAGTTTGCTGTAGAAAACAAACAAGTGAAATATATTTATAATGGTTTTAACACCTCAGGCCTAATTACTGAAGTGCAAGTGTTTATTGGGAATCTAAGAATTGGTTCTTTGGGTAACTATCTTGTGTTTCACACAGTAAATTCTAGACAGGAAGAAAAGAAAAAAAGAAACAATGCTTTTTTGTTTTTAACCTAAACTTATTTTTCTGTGGACAGAAAAACACATTTCTTCAGATGCCTGTGGATATTACCCTCTCATAGAAAAATAAAAATGATAAATTTCACCATTTACTAAAATCAGCCTTTCCCTTGAATGAGTTGTATGCCCTCTGTTAGTCTACCTATAATATTAATAGTAGGAGTTTCTCCCTCTAAAATACTCTTAGGTTCCTCTGCTCATGTCAGTATTTTGTTGGGTTTGGCCCAACACCAGGAATCTACAGCTAAATGTATATAGAACCACTGAATCAAAGTCTAATTTATAGGAATATTTCAGTCAGTGGCTAAAGTAGAGGGACATTACACAGGTCTGTCACCATTTACAAAACGTATGTGACTATGAGCCTACAGGGAAGGGTGTGGGGGACTGCCAGCTTTATTTTGAGATGCTTATCATCTCTATTGGTTGATTTGAGTGTTCAACAAATGTACTTATTCATTAATAAGTGGAGAATGAATGCCAAGAGGTGCCACTATTTCAAGTAGGGACCCTTGGCTTGATGTGCCTCTTGTGGAGGCTTCCTAGGTACACATCAGATTGTGGATTGGGGTTCCTTGTTAGACTCTGAAATATTGCACTTAGTGCCTCTAAAACCTGAAGTTAAAATGCAACTTCAGGACCGGAATAAACCAGACCTTTGGTTTTTAGTCTCAAGATACACAGCAGCTAGAAACACTGGCCTGAGTGGGGTAGGGAGGGTCCAGTGGAATGAAGCGTGGACTAATCTTTCAGTTGCCTTCAAACACGCATTTCAGAAATACGCTGAGCGCCAGTCCAGCAGACCCGAAATACGTGATGGGATGGAACTCGTTCCTCAGCCAGATGATAACACGTCTCTCTGCCAGTGTCACCGGGAAGGACCTTTCAGAGAAGAGCTCTAAGTCAGCTCACACGGACACTCCTGTGAATGCCAGTGACACACGCAACGCACGCCTCTGGACAGAGGCCGCGCTGTAGGCAGCGCGGTGCTGGAGACACGTGGACGGGCGGAGCAGGATGCGAGCAAGTATCACAAGCCTCTTTGAATATTCTTTTCTTTTGTGTAAAAACTGCTATCATCGATATCACAGTTGCTCTAAACAGAAAACTTGCGGGTCATAGCAGACAGGCTTGCCAAAATAGAAATCACTGTAAAAAAAAAAAAAGAAATCACTATGAAATGATGTATACCATATTTCTTAGTTTGTTGCTATCCCTTGTTCACTTTCCCTCTCCCTCTTCCAATTATGAAGAAAAAACGTTTGTGCAGGGTTCTTCCCCTCTTACTGCGTAATTTCACCTCCTACAAGCTGCTTTGGACATTGAGTTATAGCAAGCCTCCTCTTGGAAGGTCTGATAAGAATAATTAAGGAAGAAAAGGATGGCTCCCTTGTTAAAGGTAGCTTGGAGACCGTGGAGGCCACGTTTTTTAAAGCTCACTCGTATCTTTTTAGCTAAGTTTTATCAAGGACTGAGACAAAATTAAGGAGAAATTATGCCATAAGCTAGTAATTCCCAATCTATCTGGGTGGTACACCCATCAAGGACAACACAATTATTAGTAGATGAGAACTTTCTGTGGGTACCACTCATTATCTATGTATTGAATAGATGGAAGGTAACTACAGTCAGGTGGGGATCTCTAGTACTTTTTTGAATCTTTAAAAGGGACACTTGAAAACATCTGCCAGAAGCAGCAGTAAGCCTGGTACCTTGGGATTCACCAATAAGCTGATAAGAAAGGCAAGCATCCCGAGTGCACCCCTCCTCTGTTTCAGTGAATTGCTACAAGAAAAACTTTGGAAATTTCCTTTGCCTTTTTGGACAGGGTCAAAACTTAAAGACTTATAGCCCAGAGATTCATTACACACTCCTTGTAAAACCACCAATCCAAGATTCACTCCACTAAAGAACACACTCCCGAAGCAAGAGCTAGCTACACTCCCAGTATAAAAATATTTACTCCCCTAATTGAAATATTTACTTAATCTGAGAAACAATGTAACCACTTTAAGGTAGTCATATCCTTTTATGAAGGTTCAAGAAGAACACAGAATTGTGTAACTAGACAAGAGCAAAACCACATTTAGGAGAACAGTGTCGTCAAAACCAAGTACCCAAGGAAAACACCCACCAATTGTACACCCACAAAAGTACAAGGTCACGAGTATAAAATAAAGGGCAGCTGTACTAGGACCACTAATGAATCCATGTCCTGCATATATTGTACATGGAGTCTGGGGTTTGTCAAAGCTGAGATTATTGAAAGAAAATTTGCCTTCCTTCACACCAGCCTGCCCACCAACCCCGGGTCCTTCCTTGTGGCTGATGGCATCTTGTTAGAAACATCTTAAATTTTTAAAATGTCTATCATCTGCTGCCAAACAAGCCTGATAGTTAAAAGTGAACTGAGATACACCACACAGCTTCTGAGCTTAGAACAGGAAAAGGATATGTTTAAGAAAGTAAGTGGAGCCCTCAAAAAATTCCATAGGGAGTCAGCAGTCAATCTAGATAATTTTCCATCCACCCAGCACAGTCATAGTCTTTAACAAGAGTTAGTTTTACATGGCTTTCTGGTTTGTTGACACGAATATAACTTAATAAAATCGTTTTACTAAAACCCTGATTTTTTTCCCCTTCGAATTCACACAATATCTAATATTCCATTAGTTGTTTTTAATACTTCAACTTTCCTTAAAAAATCTGATTTTTAAAAGGAAGAGAGGAGTATGCAGGTAAATACAATAAGTGAATTTATCTAAATAAGCTGCCAGCATGTTTGTTGCTGTATTGTTTTTATTAGTAAAATGTTGGAAGCACCTTGATTAGCTTTCATGAGGGAACTAGCTAAATAGTTATTGATATATAAAGGAATGTAATACAACTATTTTTAAAAAGCAGCCCTAAATGTACTATCATGAAAGATTTCCATTACAGTATTCAGTGAAAAAACTAAGTTACAGAGCAACATGTATAATGTGAAACCATGAATGTAAAAAACAAAAATATATTTGTGTGGTTGAAAGTTTGGAAGGATTTTACCACTATCTGAGGAAGAGATGGAGAGAAGGGAATTTTTACTTTTTGCTATATACCTGTCTATGATATTTGTTTTTGCTACAAGTAAGAATCAGATTGTAAAATAAAGAAAAATGTAAACCCAGGAAAAGACTGTAAGTGCACAAAAGATATACATAAGAAAATGGATATTTATATTTCCATTATGCTGTTTTTAAATCTACTCTGTCTAGAATTTTATATCATGGGACATATTATATACACTTTTTAAATGAAGTAAATTTTCTAAATAAAAGTTTGAAAAAGATAATTTCTGTTTTTAAGAAAGACTGTAACCACCAGGGGACCTGGGTGGCGCAGTGGATTGAGCCGCGACTCTTGGTTTCGGCTCAGGTCATGATCTCAGGGTCCTGAGATTGAGCCCCGGGTGGGCTCCAATCTCAGTGGGGAGTCTGCTTGAGATTTTCTCTCTCCCTCTGCCCCTCCCCCTGCTTGCACAGGTGCTCTCTCTCAAATAAATAAATAAATCTTTTAAAAAAATAAGAAAGATTGTAACCACCTATAGCCCTGGTATTTCTGTAACTGTGTTGGTCTAATTTTAATTTTATTGTGTCTTCATGAATAAATGAACCCAAACTTCTATCACTACCAGTCAATCCCTAGTAGGTAGAAATCTAATATTATGGGGAAAGAAATTTGGGCTTGACACCATTATTTTCTCTTATTTCAGGTGAAAATACACAAAGTACAGTGTCTTAGCTGGTTCAGGTCACCATTATACTGGTTTTGCTGTAACTACCTATAGTGACAGGTTAACTATCACTTATTGTAGTGATCACTTAGCAATATAAACAAGTACCAAATCATGTTGTACACCTGAAACTAATGTATGGTATATGTCAATTATACCTCAATTTAAAAAAGTAAAATAAAACTGGTTTAGGCTTTACCAGCTAAAGAGCTTAAATCTAGAAATAGCATTGGACTACAATCACCTGTCACTTATTCTTTGATCCTGAGCACTAGCTGCCAAATCACGCAAAGGATCCGTTTTCTTATTTACAAATGAATAAATTACTTAAATATGAAAGATTTTGTGTATTTCTCCCACATCTTTAAAGTCCTTGGTGGAAGTGACCGGACTTTGTAATAAGTTTAGCCCCAATTCGCAGAAATTCACTTTGGTTTCCCTTTCGAAATCCTTTGCCTCAAAGCCATTAATAATTGCAGTGAGACCTCAGGCTCAGCTATCACATTTTTTTCCGTTTTGGATCCCCTGGAGACAGTGAGGTGTGGGTGGAGGAAAGGGCGGGGCCGGGGGGCGGTGCTAAGGGAGGCGGTGCTAGGGGCGGGGCCTGAGGCGGGTCAGAACGGAAGTAGAGTCGCGTCATTTCCGTCTGCCGTGTAACCGAGGAGTCCAGCAGAGCCCGGGACCGCGGCGATTGACAGGTGAAGGGAATGGTGTCCCCTCCCTCTCCGCCAGTACCACAGCAGTTCCGCTCGCCTTTGTGGCGCCTGGTCTGAGCCTGTCCTTCTCCAGCGCCCTAAAGTCCCCCTGCCCTTGAGGTCCGCTCCCCATCCCACCCCTTAAAAACGTTTGGTGTCCCTGAAGCCCTCCCTTCCCCGGCCTCCAGCTCCTGGTTTCCAGCGCTGCCCACGACTGACACCCCCCCAACACACCCCCACCCGCTGTGGCTGGACGCGCTCCCCGCTCGTCCTGCCACCTCCCGGGCCCCCCTCCTCGCACCTCCGCAGAGACCTGGTTTCTCCCCCTTGAGGCCGAGGGCGAGATAACTTGTTAACCCACCTCACCTTTTTTTTTTCTGGGATTTTTTTTTTTTTTTTTTCCGGCTTCGACTCATGACACGGTTTTCTGTCCTTTCATTGCGTTATTTGGAGCTGGAGAAGGGAAAAGCGTTCCTAACACCACCATGTTAGTGGTGGTTTGCCCTCCTCAGCCCTCGGTATAAAGGACTACAAGGAAAAAAGGAAGAGTGAAATCACAAAACTGATCAAAAAGGTCACAAAACACATTGATGTATTTACTAAAACAAAGGAGGAAGTGTAGGTTCCGATCCCAGCATATTAGTTTTAATACTCTTTCCCAGCTTTTATTTTTATTTTTTTAATTTTATTTTATTATGTTAATCACCATACATTACATCATTAGTTTTAGATGTAGTGTTCCATGATTCATTGTTTGTGCATAACACCAGTGCTCCATGCAGTACATGCCCTCCTTAATACTCCTCACTGGGCTCACCCAATCCCCCCACCCCCCTCCCCTCTAGAACCCTCAGTTTGTTT